CTGGGGGCAGCTCCCGTTGGCTGTAAGCAGCAAGCACAGCCAGTGGTCAAGGATGGTGGGAACTGTACTCCAAAAGCAACTGAAGTGCCACAAGCAGCCCACCCACGGATGAGCGAGATTTTGGGTGGCAGTAGCCGGGGAGCAGCTGCCCATTCCCCTCCGCGATGCATGTCCCGCTCTGCTTCCCCACCCGCCCGGCTGGATTTCTGTGTCTCATGGGAAGCGGTGCGTTGGGATCCCCGTTGCAGGATTGCCAGAATGATCATGTGACGTGACTGCATTGTATTTATGAGTCTGAGGAGGCACCTGGGGAGAACCCCCCTTTTCGGGAACAGCCCTTAACCCTTCCTTGCCCTCCTTCCAGCCCTCCGGCCTCTGCTCTGTTCTTTGGTCCTTAAGGAACTAAGAGGAAAGTGGTGGAGTCTCGGGTTTCGCCTGCGTGGTCAAATTAGGTTTTGTGTCTGGAAACTCGCTTAGGCAAGGAGAGAAACGGATTGCTTTTAAATTTCAGGCCACAGCGCGCCCGGGCAGGGAAAAAGGTCCCGATGTTCCCAGCACGTCCCCTGGGGCATGCTGGGAATTGTAGGACTTTTGTTCCTCTCTGGACGTGCCCTGGACTCTGCCCCGCATATCCTTAGCCCTCCTCTCTCCCTCAAAGGCAGGCTTGATTCGGTTAGCATCCGAATTTAATGGGGCTTTAAGCAGGCTTCCCCCTTCCTTGGTTTGCGCACCCTCTGCGGGAAATTAATAATAGCAAAAATAACCGCGGGACTCGTGCGGTGCGCGCCGAAGGTGCGATCCTGGCTTTATCGCTCGTCAAGTGGGCCTGGGTTGGCGCAGGGAGCTCTGCACATGCTCCGAGGCGCTCCTTCCTCGGAGAGCGTGCAGTGACGCGGCCAGTCTGCGTCCGGACGCCTTCGCGGCGCTGCTCCGGGCACGGCGCGCCCTCGGACGGTGCGGGGGAGACGGAGCCACGGGGAGCGGGCAGGCCTGTGCGGGGGGGGGGGGGGGCAGGCGCCAACTTTTGCCCTCCCCCCCCTCCCGTCCCCTCCCCGCCCCGCGGCGCCTCCCAGTGCTGGGCGAAAATAGCCGCCGCGGCCCGGGCGGGGCGCCCCCTCCCTCCCCGGCCATGTGCTCCGCACGCCGCTCCGGCGGGGGAAGAGGGGCGTGCGCGGGGGCCCGGCCGGCCCTGCCCCCCGCCCCTCCCCCTGCCCTCCCCCTCCCCCCCCGCGCCTCGTCCCCGCGCGCCAGCCGCCCCGGCGCACACGAGCGGGCCAGCGCGGCGGCTGCGGACGGAGCGCAGCGCAGCGCAGGGCAGCGCAGCGAGCCAGCCCCGCCGGAGCCCG